TTGAAGTTTAGGTGTTAGATATGTAAATACATAAGAATTGAGTGTTATTTTTGTAAATATTCCTTTTATTTTTTTTGATTCAGACTCTCAATAAAAGTCATATTTTTCTTGTGCCTTGTTCGCTCATTGCTGAACGCAGGTTATGAGTGGGATGTCGGCCATTTTCAAGGTGCTGAACGGCCAGAGGTGGATAGTTTCAGACACACTTCTGTTGGGCTTTCAAGTGATGAGGTATTATGAGTGCCATCATGCCAAGATTTGATGAAAAACCAAATAAGCACTGACATTATTTTTATTTTAGAAAGGAAGACATTTTTCTTTGTGCAATTTTGTGGTAATTGCCGTTTTTTATTTTGTTTGGGGCATATACATTCAGGCCACTCAATTTTTATGTATTTACATTTCTAACTCTTACATTTGACTTTTTTACAATTATTCCACCTAAAATTTTCATATTACATAAAAATACCATCATTTTAGCTTTTAAAAAGTGAAATACATCTTTTCATGTATAGGTAAGTAGTAAAAGTTGAAGTTTAGGTGTTAGATATGTAAATACATAAAAATTGAGTTGTGGGTATGTAAATCTTCCTATTTATTTTAATCTTTTTTTGCGTTAGGTAGTGTCATATAATTGATGAAGCAATGAACAAAAACATGATGCGGACATCCTTTCCACAATCCGTTCTTAATTTTTCAGAAAGTTTGTCCTAGTTCCATGTATTATCACTCTTTCTTCTTTATGGCTAGGAGATGAGAAACAAGGTTTAGGGCCTGTTTGGGGCAGCTTAAAAGTGCAGCGGCGTTTTTGAAAACACTGCCTTTGTGCTTGGTTTGTGCCTCTCTCACGCATTCCCTGTTTAGGATAAACAGGGAATGCGGAGCTATAGGTGCGTATCGAGTTTGGGGCATACTATTTTCCTTCGTTGCCCTCGCTACTCTCGCCTGCCCTAGTTCTTCGCTCGATCGATCGTGCCCTAGCTACCGAGAAGGTGTATTTTGGTAAAAAAAATTTGTGCTCCCTCCTCTCCTTCCTCTTCTTCTTCTTCTTCTTCTTCTTCTTTCCTCGTCTTCTTTTCTCCTCTCCCCTCTCGTCCTCCCTCGATCTGTAGTTTCTCTTGCGAGAATAATTTTTGTGGTTCATGGCTTTCTGGTGTGATACATGTTTACGGTTCATGATTACTGTTAGATTCATAAACCTCAACATCGTTTACGTATTTGTAAGCGAGAAACAATTAGTTTAGGGTTTTGTGGCTTGAGATCTTTGAGGCTTTTCAGAAACCTGATTTTTACATATGCTCCTACATTTGATTCGGTTTAATGCCATAAAGACTTGATCGTTTACATTTTTTTACATTTGCTGGAAAGATGTTGTGCCCTAGCTACCGAGAAAAATGTATTTTTACATCAGTTAGTTGTTGTATGATGTTATTGATGCGTTGGAGAAGGGGAAAGATTTGATACTTCTCTGTTTTTGATATGGTAGGTACTCCATAAGTTTGGTTAGTTCAGATTTTGGTACTTCTCGGTTTTTGATGTGTCGAGATTCGTAGGCCTCACTAGAAACAACTTCTTTGCTGCATTGTTGTTTTTGATCCTATACACATTCATAACTTTTTGGTTTGTAGGAGGGTTGACAGCATTCCATCTTTAGTTATATCATTTTATCTGGAAATGATATAACTAATTTATTTTGTCCATAGTTACCATACATGTCATATTTAACAGACCATATATACACAAATTTGCAGTAGGGTTGGCAGCATTCTATCTTTAACATACATGCCCTTTTTCATTTGCATAAAAGGTATATTTATTTTCTTACATACATGTCAATTTACCATCTGTTTATGTCACAGTAAAAAATGAGTAAACCTAAAGATGTCGGATCATCGACCATGTGGGATAGAGAGACCACTAATATATTTTGTGATCTCTATCTGAGGGAGGTCGAGTTGGGAAATAGACTCATTACCTATTTTAATAAAGAAGGTTGACATAATCTCACGACTAAATTCAAGGAATTAGCCGGAAGGGATTACGATCAGATGAAACTAAAAAACAAGTGATATCAATTAAAGAAAGACTGAAAAATTTGGAAAGAGCTCAAAAGGGGATCAACTGGATTGGGATGAGATCCACTAAAGCGGACAATTGATGCACCTGAGGAATGATGGACAAAAAAGTTAGAGGTAATTACATGACTATTTCCACATATTTTCAGAGTGAAATGTTTTGACTATTGAATACATTTTTCTTGTTACGTCAAATGTTTTGACTATTGAATACATTTTTCTTGTTACTACAGGCAGTGCCAGCGACGAAAAAATTCAAATTGAATTGCATTGTACCACATTTGGAGGAGAAATTGGATGATATGTTCACTGGCGTTGTAGCAACAGGAGCTCATGCTTTCTCCTTAAATGAGCAGGGCTTTGCCAGCTTAGCACAGGATATGGAGACCGAGCATATAGGTGACTCAGGAGAAGGTCTCAACCAAATCTAAACAGACGTTCAATCCGCTGGTGGGATAAAACGTCCCCGACCTGAAAAAAAGAAAAAGGGCTTCGCATTTACTAGAGGTACTATTGAAACATTGCTTGAAACTTGTAAAACAAAGTCCAAACCAGCGAAAAACAACACAATTCAGGAGTGTGTTCAGATCCTTAACACATATCCTGATATTAAGGAAGACAAAGCTATGTATGTAAAATATGTGAAGTTTTTAGGGACCCCAACTCACAGACAGCTCTTTGCGACTTTGGACCTAGAATTCTGACTTGTCTATTTGCGTTCTTTCATAAATGATTGACTGTTATTTACTGTATCTTCATTGCTACTGTTATATCTTTGTACTATTTATGTGATGGACTCTTCTATATTTATTTCTTATGGACACACATTTGGTTATCTTTAATCATGTTATGTATTTTATTTTTTCAATCATGTATATGTTGTATATGTATTGTTTACATTGTCATATATTATTTATTAGATTGTTTAAAAATCTATCATTTTCAAATTTTACTCAATGGATGAAGAACAAGTTAATCACAACTGCATTGTTGCTCTCATCCTTACATTGTTATACCATTACTAGCATGCATATGTTGATCGAAACCCATGCATGACGTCGAGTAATATTGGAGATAGATGAGTCGGGGAGTTATTACATAGTCACCCGACAAGTTTCACAAACATGTTCCGTATGACAAAAGTAATATTTGACCTGCTTAATCAACTTCGGACCCTTCATGGATTGCATGTTTCATCAAGAACGACAGCTAAAGAGGTGTTGACAATTACCGTGTACATTTTATCCCAGAATGAATCTATTAGAGGAGCTGTGAAACGGTTTCAACATTTATCAGAAATCATCAGCAGATATTTATCAGTTGGGTTGAATGTGCTAGTGAGTCTGGCATGTGAAACAGTCAAGTCAGAGGATCCAATATTCCAGTCCATCCCCAGACATATTGCAAATGACCCTTGATACATGTTCTTCAAGGTGCTTTCTTAATATAAATTTCAATTATTACAATAGTACACATGTGATTTTCTTATTGAGTATTTCGTGCACCACAGGACTGCATCGGAGCTATAGACGGAACACATTTCTATGCATGCCTTTCTGGCACAGAGAATGTTGCATACATCGGACGGTGCAGATCTCCAACACAAAATGTTATGGCTGTGTGATTTCAGCAGTGAATTTGTGATGTAACAGTGAAAGGGGCTACGTTAGTGTTTGTTTGCAGAGCTGAATGAGTTTAGCGGTTAGAATGAGATTAATGAGATGGGGTACTCTCTATTTACCTACAGTTTTGCTCTTTTGCATTACGTAGACAATATTGGTAGGGTGTTTTATATTCTTTGAATATGGATGGCTTGTTCCCCACATAGCTATGGGTGGATTCTTACCCATCTACAAAGAGGAGCAGCTTTTTTTTCTTGCCGTAATGGCAATCTGCTGCATTATTGAAGAGATCATGAATGTTACCCATCTTCTGCCTTGGGGGAATACTGCATGTGAATAGAAAGAGATGTAAGGGAGAAATATAGAGTGAAGGTCTGAATTTAGAAAGAGATGTGTTGCAGGGCAATTATGTGGTCCATATATTTTCCTATGGTTTCCACTGCTCAAACACAGAGAACAGTGTAAATAGAAATTAATATTAGATGTGCATTTATTTTTAGCCAATATTTGTTGGTGAGGGATGTGGCCAACTCTGGAATAATACAAGCATATGAGATCTTTTACTTCTTGGTCGATTTGAATTCATGAGATGGCTGTCTCCTTCCCACAATGGTTCTCCTTAGGCTGTGGTACTTCATCAATTTGTTGTTTGCATGTTCTCCTTGCTTTGATGAAAGCAGTAATTCATTTTTCATATTTCCATAAGCTGCTATGGTCTCCTTGCTTTGCTGAAAACATGGGCAAGCTTTTGAAAATTTCAAAAATTTCTGAATGCAATCATTTAAGGTGTATAGATTTCGAAAATTGATGTCCAGCTTGTATCTATGGACTAATGGTTTAAGTTTTTAGTTATATGATTGCATATGTCTTGGTTGGTATGTCTTGGTTCTTCAATGAACTCATTTTAATTGTTGCGCTACTTTCATACACCTCTAAGCTGCTATTGAATCTGACCTCATTTTGTTGAGATAGTTGTGGAGCAGCTTGGATGGCCACAAATTTTTTTTGTCGGCAATCGCTGCCTCCATACTTAGGTAAGTACATTTTCTTTATTTCCTAAATTTTTTTGACTGATCTATTCTCTATTTAATAACTGCAAGACGATGAGTTCTAGATATTCAGGGAAGTCCGTGGAATTGATGTGTCAGTGCGGGCTACCGTCCTTGCTACTCACGTCACGCCAGCCACATAGCTACGGGGGGCAATTCTACAGGTGCCCGCGGTGGGCACAAGGACAGGAGGATTGCAATTTCTTCAGGTGAGCAGACTGTACCTCTGTTTCTATGATATCCCAACTGGACACCGTTGCTCGGAGTTTGACGGTATCACAATTTGAGAACACCGATTGTGGTTCGAATGCTTCCATTTCTACAATATCCTAGTCGAACATGTTCGCTCGGGGTTTTGTGGTGTCAAAACCGGGTAGCAGTCGTCGTGATATGCTTCTACATTTCAAAGTCAATATTGTAATTTTTTTTCCTTGTAATTTTAACTTGTTTTTTTTTTTTGAATCTCATGATAGTACATTTATGATACTAATAACACACTACCTCCATCCTTAATTTCTAGAATTCAGAGTTTTACTTATATAATTGTCCTGAGAGTGATGTTTAATAATGTCTGTATTTTCCTGTCTAGCAAAAGCACTAGGCTGTTGTACACTTGAGAAATGGCGTGCAAAGTTAAAAATTGAACTAAGAATTGAAAAAATGACAAATTCAAGCCATTAAAAGTATGCAAAGCTATAACAAAAAGTTTTAAACCAGAGAATGAATGCATCACAACTCAAATTAAAAACTATAGCAGAAAACTAAAATGAAATGCTAGTGCACAAAGCTCAACATGGCCACAAGAGAGAATGATCATTTATCTATATCAGGGTCTAAATGGTCATTTATCCAGAAACAAATGCAAATCAATTATTTTTCAAACACTAACCAAACAACCAATCAGCTTATCCGGATCAGCTGGTCATCAACAGATTATCAGGATAACTGTTTATCAGCATAAGCTACAGCTGCCCCAAACAGACCCTTACAACGCATGCTACTCTTACAAAAGATTCAATAGTAATGAAGAATACATTAAGGAGTTTATACCATAATTTTTACTTCATGGTTCATATAATTGACAAATTCCTCACAAAATAAATGTGGCAAAATGTATCACATTTACTTTGGAATGATATGGTGAACGCTTTTTAAATGAAGAAACCAAAACCACCACTTAAATAAGCCATGATAAAGTTGAAGATGATTCTTTTGATGATGGTTTCTCTCTTAATAAATACATACACACGTATGCATATACACATGTATATAATTTTTTTTTCAAAATCTAAAGCATTTTTAGATTTCTTCTTCAGTTTTATTCAAGTAATTTACCAAAATGTTTGTGATACGATCCGACATCAAAATCGACACAATTTCCCATAGAAATTAGGGCAAATACAAATATTTTTATTAATAATCCAAACAACTCAACAATAATACAAAAGATAAGCACCTATAATTAGATAGGTAGGAAATCTCTTCCAAACCATAAACCTAAGACTCACAATCCAATCTCATGCATAAAAACCCAACCCTAAATATAATAATATTTTTTATATCTAATAATAATAATAATAATAATAATAATAATAATAATAGAATAAATCGCTCTTAGGTTTGGCATCAGCATAACAATACTCCCCCTCCCCCCCAAAAAAAAAGACACCATGTTCTCAAAATGGAAAAAAAATGAGTGTTACCCCACTACAGCTATCTCCATTTCTTCATATTCTACCTCCTCGTCATGTACTATTAGAACTTGTCATTTTTTACCCTTGCAACTATGTTCTTGTGTAAACTTCTCATCACACTGAAAATATAACCCCTTGATTTGCTTCTCCAGAATCTTTGGATCTGTAAGGCTCTTGAGTGTCGCTCCCGGTCGAGGCCCATTATGTCTGTCTTGTGCTGCCTCTGTATGGACTTTCACTATTTGAGCTTTTGGAATCGTCATGGTTGTAGTTGTTTGGTATGACACTATTTGTATTGCTCCTGCTGGCCTCATCCATCTGGTTCTTTTCCTCCGTTATCTAGGCTAGCTCCATCATCCTCCTCAATCCCCGCGGTCTCAATGGTCGGAGTGTTGCCCGTATGTCAGGCTTTAAGCCCTTCATGAAAT